TAGGCTCCTCAGATGCCCTTCCAAACCCCGCCAAACCCCTCAAGATGCTCTCTTGAGCCCCTCAGATACCTTTCCAGACCCTCCCAAGCCGCCCAAGATCCCCCAAGTTTGTGGGTCAAAAATGATGGCAACCATTTTTGACCCACAAGAATTGCCTCTTTTGGACCGCTCAGATGCCCTTCCAAACCCCTCAAGATGCCCTCTTGAGCCCTTCAGATACCTTTCCAGACCCTCCCAAGCCCAAGTTTGTGGGTTAAAAATGGCAACCATCTTTGACCCACAAAAATTGCCTCTTTTGGCTCCTCAGATGCCCTTCCAAACCCCGCCAAACCCCTCAAGATGCCTTCTTGAGCCCCTCAGATACCTTAGATCCCCAAGTTTGTGGTCAAAAATGGCAACCATTTTTGACCCACCAAGACTGCCTCTTTTGGGCTACGCCCAAAACCCAAAACCCTACGACCTAGACCCAAAACCCAGCATCTGAAACCCTGAACCCAAAACCCACCACCCTAAAGCCTGAAGCCAACAGCCTAAAAACTAAACCCAACATCCAAAACCTAAAACCCTACCCCCAAACCCTGAACCCAAAACCCCAAACCCACAACCCAAAATTTCAACCCAAAACCCTAAGGCCTAAACCCAAAACGCTAACACCTAAACCCAAGACCCAAAACCTAAAACCGGGTTGATACTGATATGTTTTTTGGGTTCATAGGGTTCAGCAGGGTTTACATGGTCTGAATATTGACTAGAAATCTCGACTTTATTTTGAGAGATATATTGATTATGCTTTTGATTTTGGCTTGAGAAAAGCCTACCAAAATTATTGACTACCTTATTGATTTTAGGGGTCCAAGAATCAATTACATTAATATGATATTGGACCATGATCAATAAGCTCCAGAGCTTATTGATTGCAATCAATAAGCGATGCCCAGGGTTGGGGATGCCGTGGAGCTGCTCCTTGACGTCGGGGGGCGGCACCATCAGCCGGCCGCCGTCGTCTTCCTTCTGCCGGAGGACACAGACGGGTGAAACTTGAGGCCGCCGAGGTTGAAGTCGTCTGCCGAGGGTCGGGAGGCGTCAAGTCGTAGGCGATCCCAGCCGTCCTGGACCGACCAGACCAAGTGGGCGCCTGTCGCCGGGTCTTGCCTCACATCGGACCAGTCGATGGACATCCAGAACAGGCGCGGCCGAGATATCCACCCAAAGTCGCTTGCGCAGACCAAGACCGGTTGGCAATCGAGCTCGTCGGCGATGATCTGCGCGTCTTCCTTCCTCATGGTCGTGTTCTCAGCGAGGGCGCCGAACCTGCGCCGCGGAAGTCGCCGTTTGATGTGATCGACGAACTCGGTTGCTTTGAGGAGGAGGCAGCCATTCTTCCCCATGTGCCCCGGGCCGTCGGACCGAATGAGGCTGAAGTCCTGGCAAGGCGGCGCCATGGTGACGATGATGATCGCCGTGCCGTCGGGGTCAACTTGTTCGATGATCCTGACGACGTCGTCCGCCGAGTCCTTGGTCAAGTCGCCTCGCTGCCTGAGCCATGGCAGGCGCTCCTCGGCTACCCTTCGGCACGCGCCGTCGATCTCCCAGGCGAAGGCCGCCTTCAACTTCCCGAAGCGCTGGTCCAGGATGTAGGGCGCCGCGCCGATCCCGTCGAAGACGCGCCGTCGATCTCCCAGGCGAAGGCCGCCTTCAACTTCCCGAAGTGCTGGTCCAGGATGTAGGGCGCCGCGCCGATCCCGTCGAAGAAGGAGAGGAGAACGATCTCCCCGCCATGGGGGTCGCGTTGTCGGAGTCGAAGGCGCTTGGCCGAAGGGCTGTCGTCGTCGCGCGACCACTGCTGGTACTGCTGGCGGTAACCTCTGCCCCCGCCGCGTCGCCAGTCCTGGGCCCGGTCATCACAACGGTCATCTCGTCGATCGTCTCGTCTCGGTCCTGCTCGATCACCCCGTCAATCGCGGTTGCCGCCTCCGCCCCGACGATTGCCCCGGTAGTCGTCGTCATGTTGTCTGCGCCTGTGTTGACGGTTGCCGCCCCTGCCCCTGCCGCGGGTGCGGCGCGGCGTGTTGAGGTTGAAGTCGTCGTCGTTGGTGTTGCCGCCGGCGGGGTTGCGCTTGGGCGTCGGCTCCACATATGCCATGGCCTCGTTCATCATCGCCGTGTCGGCCATGACCTCGGCGACCATCTCCTTGAACGTCTTGCCGGCGCGCACCCCCAAGGCGATGCCCACGACGCTTTCAACCACAGCCGTTTGACCTGGTCGAGCTTGGTCGGGTTGCCGCGCGCCTTGCTGACGAACCAGTCGGCAAAGGTGTTAATGTCCTCCTCCTTGCCGACCTCGACGAGGATGAGGGCCCACCTGGCCGCGTCGACACCGTCGATGCTCGCCAACAGTGATCGGGGCGCCCACTGAGGGTCTTCAACTGACACCACCTCGCCGTTCACCAGCCGCAGCGCCTGGCCGGCAGTTGCCAAGGAACCCTGCCCAGCCTGGGCAGGGTCAACGGGTTGACGTCGCCGGACGCCGTGAACAGCCGCTTTTGAAGAATCTCGCCGAGGCTGATGGGCGTGTACGCCTTCGTTTTGGTATGTTCACGCCATACCCTGGCGAGGACGGACTCGGCGCCGGCGAGCATGTTCTCGGGGAAGCGCCGCGTCTTGCCGTCGAGGAGGCGGTTGTTGTAGACGTCGATTTGGGTAGCCCAGTGGGCAAAGGTCTTCGGGATCTTGTCGTCGGGGTCGACCGACATGCCCGTCGAGGTGACCGTCGTTGTCGGTGAAGGCGACGGCGCCGGCGTCGCCTGAGGGGGCGCCACATGGGCAATGTCCTGCCTGCGCGCCTCCCGCCACATGTGGGTGATGATGGCTCTCACCGCGGCGTGGTTCTCGGGCTGCGCCGAGTGGTTTACGCCGCTTATGGTGACCTGATGGACCAGGTCGGCGACGTTGTCGACGATCAAGGCAAGGGTCGCCGCGCAGTCCAGGCCCTTTGCTGTCAAGTAGTTCACGAGGGGGGGCCCGGCGCCCGCCTGGCGAGCCAAGTCCGCGAAGGCGATCATTGTAGACGCCGCCGTGGCCGGAGTCGACGCAGTAGCCATGACAGGCGGCGGGCTAAGGGCGGCCTAGCTGAGATCCAAAACTGTGACGGTGGCACAGGTAGCGCCTTAGCTGCGGCTGACACATGTGCATGCACAAACCTGTCGCGCATGTGTCGCAAGCCGCTGTTACTGCGCCGGTCCGGGCGCCACTTCATAGCTCCGCCGAGGACTTGGCGACGGACGAGGACGACTCCCTCTGGTCGAACCTCTCTTCCGCCGGACGGCTCTGCCTCTGGCGGAAGCAGCGCAGGCAGGCGTCTGCCCCGGCATCCCGTCGAGCCGATAAAAGTTTTTGGCTCCATAGTACCAGCGGCCGCAGGGGGTCACCCATTCGGCTCTCTCCAGGTCAGCTTCGTACGCCTTGCGCACCTTGTGTGCGCGCGGGTGCATCACCAGCGTCGGCTGCGCAGCCTCAAGCGTTCGGCGGCGGCGCGACGTAAACCATTTCGGGTACGCCGTCTCCCTGAGGACCCTCTGGCCCGGGCGCCGCTTCGGCGTACAGTCCACCTTCTGGGACCGGGAACGCCGGAAGTGCGAGCGGACGAGGGCCGCCCGGCGCTGGGCCCATCGCCGCGTTACCAAAGCCCGCCGCTGCCGCGGGCCAACGGGGCGGCCTCCTCGCGGCGTGGCCGCCAAAGAGCTGCCGCTGTCTGCCGTTGGGGTCCACATACGTCAACTCCACCCCTGCCGCCTGCAAGACCTGTCGTATCTTGTGGATCACGGCGTGCTTCGACATGAAGCCCTTGTCTTGCGCCGGCAGGAGTGGGTCGTCCGGACCCGTCGACCCGCGGAGCCGTAGCCGAAGCAGGTGGCGCTGCGCCGCGTGGAATGGGCACAACAGCGGCTGGATCTGTACCCCGCATGCACACTCGAGAGGCGCCCGCCGGGGGCTGTCTTGTGGAGCGGCACGTCGATGGCCACATGTGTCGTTGTCAAGCCGAGGTCCTTGAGCAACGCCGAGCCAGTTCAATCTCCACCACATCGGTCATGTGAGCAGACAGACTTGACCACTCTCCGGCAAGCATGCCCTCGTCAAGGTTGTCGAGTGCCCTCTTTCAGCGCCGCCTCCAGATGTCGTCACGCCGGCCTCGGCGAGCACGGGCAGGGCCGCCGCCAGCCCAGCAGCGATGGCCGCTTCGACCACCTGGGCGAACCTTCCGGCGCCGGTGCTTCAGAAGCCATCACAAGTGCGCCGGTCGTCTTAGCGCCGGGCGGGCATCGCCGAGCAGGCTAGCCAAAATAGCGCCAGAGGCGACACTCAAGCCGATAACAAGTAATTGGCGGCGAGGGGCCTACGCCCCCGCCGTGCAGTGCGCGGGCGCGTGTGCGCCGGATGAAAACCGCCGAGCTAATTAAAAGGAGGCGTCACGACCAATGGCACCCGTCGCGATGAAGTCGAGGATGCTGAAGACGCCGATGACGCCGAAGGTCCGTCGATCACCGACCAGCGAAGTGGACGTTGCGATCGTGGTCGGCGGGGCACGCATGGCCGGTGTGCCCATTGCTAACGCCGAGCATAATGGGACGAAGGCAAATCCCATTATTGTTGCAAGCAGCGTTAGGTGTTTTGGTACACCTGGCGCCGCACAGCGACGCGCCGGCCGGCATGCTTCTTCGGGATGCGTCCGCCGCGCTGGTCGCGAGGCAAGCGCCGGATGAAGAAAGCATTCGCCGCCGGGGACTGCAAGGCGTCAAAGTCGGGCATCGCCAGGAGCTCCAGATCGTCGCGGAGCTCCTCGACGGACCAGGCGCCGCGGCCCTCCTGGAGGACGCAATGACGTTTAAAAAGTTCCAAGTTTTTCAAACGACGCTTAAAACCCGAAATGCAAAGAAAATGAAAAGCATACCGTAGAAGCATGTGTTTTTCCATACATTTCCAATGCAAGCGGGCTAGGGCCACAGGAAAAG